TTATCAGGATGCTAATCTTATTTTATTGTATATGTCGGGATACAGTCTTATTTTCCATTTATGATGAAGATTTTCAAATTTATTATTTCCATTATTTCATTTCTATAGAGTTTATCAGCAGCCGTTTCATCAATAAATAGATCGTATCGGATGTGATACAAGGTACCGTAGAATTCAAGGAAATGTTACTGTGCCAAGTACAGTTATGTTATATTTGAAAGCATAATTGTAAAAACGTATCTTAAATGATTTCAATCAGCAAACTGTTGATTGATAATTAAAAAGCTTGTCATTGATAAAAAGAGCTATGACTGATGATGATGATAGTGGCAAAATACAGACAAAACATCTATCTTATCGGCCTACAGTGATCATTAATCATTGCCTCAAATAGGCTAATCATTTATCCTATCAATTGATATGAGCTATTATTTTTCATCAAAGTGAAGAAATCCATTAAATATTTTGATTACATTTGTATCAAAAAATGGATTTGGGATCAGAGAATCAACAGATTTTTTGTCTTAATTAAGTAAAATAAACAGAAATCCTATCAACTGATAATGAGCCATTATCAGGGACTAATCAGTCCTGAGACTTAATGTAACAAAAAACCAAAAAAAAAAGTTAACAAAAAAAGAAAAAACAATTGAAGGAGAAAAAAAAGGTAAATAATACTTCTTCTGTGATCTATCATTATTCATCGGATGTTTCGAAACTTTCATAATTAAGGATATTTTAATGAAATAAAGCAAAAAACTCTGTAAGATTTTCATATCCGATAGTATCTATCGTCTAAAATTTTGAATTTCTAATCAATAATCAGTACTGAAGCTTAACTTATATTGTTATCATTAGATAAAGTTACGAATATTAATTATTTTGTCACTTTTAGCAAAAATAATTATGCAAAAATTGCATAAAATTAATGAGTATATTACGCTAACTGTTATAAGACATTGAAATACGTTCACTTCAATAAAATCACACTACCTACTACCTAAATTAAGAAGAGTTAATGCATAAAAGAGAGTAATGAGAATGGAATAATCATCACCTCATCAAGGTTATCCAAGAAAAATAAAGTAATTATTATAGAAGAGGAAGGAATTAAATATCTGTTGACATTATATTTAAGAAAGGAATTAAAAGCTTTGTTGACAACGGATCAGGAAATAGCTCAAAAGTTAGCTACTTGAACTGATATAAGTTTGCCATAGTATAATGTTCGAGAAAAAAAAAATGTAATTTGAGAACCGCATTTTTTTTTTTTTTTTTTTTGAACAAAGTAAATTCAGAAATATATTTCAACAAAAGCAATATGCAAACAAATTTAGGAATATAGCGGATGCAAAGCTAACAGAAGATTTCGAAAAAATTGCAAAAGAGCTAGAAAAATGGCTGACAAATATTGCTGACATGAAATTTTTTTTTTCCTATAAAAATTAAACTTTCTTTGTTCATTTATTCATTTCATCATAAGTTTATCATTTTTTCTTTTTTTTCTGTAACACATTTTCTTTTTACCTTTTCAGAGCAATAAAATGTTTCACATCAGATCTTTTAATGTTGAAATATTCCGGTGGAAAAATTTTTGCATAAAATGAAAATGGATCCTTCATCTATCCGTTTTATC